GGGGGGGCGGAAATCAAAGCAAGCCAACTAGTAGTCATGCTGAGTTAACATTAACAACCTCCCCATTTAGGATACCGTGTAACTGATTTAGATAAAACGTGATGAAGATGGCAATTACAGACTTGAAAACAAGTTGAAGAGTGAGAAGAGAGGAAGTTCACCTATTCAACCTACTACAAATGAACTGCACTGCGTGACTAGCCTGTGAAAGGGTCAAAGCCATACCTTCAAATAAATTACAGCATCTGAACCAACGCCTTCCATTGAGTAGAGTTTAAGGTCACCTTGGAAGTACCTAGCGTACAGACGGGAAATTGGCAAGCCGTAGCCAAACCCAGCCTACAAAGACAAGAGAACAAAAGGAAAAACATGGTGGGAAGTTAAAAGAAAAAAAAATATGCAACAGACCAATCATTTTGAATCAGAAGATACATAAATACTAGCTTTGCGTCAAATCACTCTTCAAGCTTTCCTTCATTACTCCGCCTGCACCAGAAGCTGGTATACAACTTTCTGAGCAAGTTCCTTATTTCCAAGGCATATTTCAGTACAGAAAAGGGGAAAACATCACAGTGGCTGGTTATTCACCTGACCCTGCCCTGAAGCAGGACTACCCAGAACAAAAAAGGACGGAGTCCAGACACACAAGCATTTGAAAATAAGGCTATATAACTCAACGCAGCAATGCAACTTTTCCATCAGGGCGGGTTACAAGAACAATTAGACACCTAAAGTTTTCAGAAATCCAATAAACTCATTCCAGTATAACAGCCTTACGAAGAGAATCATGCCCTGGATCTTAAAGACAAAGCCCCCAAACGATACCAAAATGGAAGGCTAAGAAGCAGGACTTGTAAGTACACACCTCACATGTGGTATGACTTTTAAGAAATCCCTGGAGGGAGAGGTGAACATTAAAGAATGTTGTACGACATCATCCATCACGAATTCCCTTGCTGTCATCCAGCATCTCTGCAGTATCTTTTCACCTCTTGGCCTTGTTTTCACAGAAGTTTAAATTTAGTGAACATAAATGGGTCAGAGTTGCTCACACCGATGGCTAACAGTTCTGAGCAAAATGAGAAACAGACGCCACAGACACCCTTTTCTACTCACACCACTGTCAGAGTTATTAGCATCCATTTCCACAGCTAAAACAGTTGCTTAGCTGCACTTTTTCAAACAGCAGGGTGCTTTAAAACAGAGTTCTCAGACTCCCATTAGAGACACATGCATCACTTTCAAACGTCTGGCCTTGAAATTCAATGCCTTTCTTGATCACTAAAAACTGGAAGTTACTTGAAAGAGCTAAAAAAACCCAAAAAAAACAGCTGACTTGCACTTTTTCTGGAGACAGGACAAACACGTTACAGAAATTAAATGGCACCGCAACTGAAAGGCAAACTGTAGGTAGCACACACCCCCAGGATCAGCTCAAGTGAAGGGCAGCATCCAGCAACCCTGAAAACATATTAAACTTTCCTCTCTCCAGAACTAGGCCTCCTTAAAACCCATGCCCAACTTCTGTTTGCCTCCTGCTCCTCCCAGGAAAATCACCTTTCCCTCTGTGGCTATTATTTCCTACATAATTCACAGTAACTTCACATAATTACTTCATACTTCCCTCTCCCAAAAAATTTGTCAGCCTCTTCCCCACATTGTTTTCAGGGTGTTTTCCAAAACCAGGCAATTTACAAGGAATCTGAAGACAACGGGCCCCAGGTGAGTACCTCGCTGAAGCAGGGCCTTGCAGAAGATCTGTTTCGCAAAGGACAACTAACAAGCAACTGCTACGCAGGCCCGTGCTGGACCCGGAGAAGACAATATAGTCAGTGGTGGCACAGAAAGCTTTTTAGAGCCAATTTCGCACTGAACGTTGCGGCATGCATTACACAAATAGGTAACTATTCGATTTCTGTGTTAGGGTCTGCAGGTTTAATTAAACCTGGTTTAAGCCATGTTTCTCCCACTATGAACAAATGCTGCCAGAGAGCAAGAATCACTAAATTCTCTAAGCAAATCTAGTTATCATCAAACATTACCATGTGGTTCGAATGTTTGTGTATAGCAGCAGAGACAGGCGCAAGACCTGCTAGAATCCAAACGCTGCCACGGTAACAAGGTTTCTCAGCAGTTTTTAAAGAAAATTTGCAATGACGCTGAGAAAGACTTTTCACCAACAACAAAAAAGATCCCTCTCCTTCCACTCCACAAGTCTACGGCTGTTTCATAAACCAGACCGGGGATCACGTAACAAGGGCAGGGAGAGTTAGAACAGAAAAACCTGTCTATTTACACTGCACTGCAGTTAGATTACAGACGTGGTCTAAGCCAAGAATGACACGAGCACAGACCTGCCCATCTACCAGAGCACTGTAATTCTTAGAGCCGCTTGGTCCTCGGCATTAAGCAATGAAGAAATTCTCCTTCCGTACGGACCTCGAAGAGGACTTACGTGCAACCTTTCTGCTCGAGTATTTTCATTTCTAGACTGGCAGACATTTATACCCAGATCAGGCCATAGGACGTAATGTGTCACGCTTCACTGCTGAAGTCCTTTTCCCTTTTAGTGAAAAGATATGCCACTGACACCCAGTTCTTCACTTTCTGCACATACATATAAATAACAGAGCTTAACAACTCTTCCCAACACTCAGTCATGTACGGCAAGACCCACAGGGCAAAAGCTGCCAGGTTCACAAGAAAGAGGGATACTCTGCAGGTCTGACTGCAGTGACAGACAGACTGGAGAGAAAAACAAAGCCTGAAGATGGGGTACAGCAGAAAGAAACAGAGTAAAAGTGACACAAGAATCAGAGCAAATGGTCTTGGAGATGAAGAAATAAACACAGGAATGCACTGCTAAAGAGGCACGGGGAGGGAGAATAGTGTTAATCCTCAGCTGATCACGTTTTACAATCAGAGCACCACAAAGGAAGAGACATTTTAATAGTGAATACAACGGGTAATCAAGGCATAAGTTTATAGTGAGGACAAGTTTTGGGAAATTTTTGTAGGCTGATATAGTAAATTGCTGATCAAAAGTGAGACAGAACAAAGGCAGATTACGAATCAAGAAAGATTCTGCCATTCCTGATATTAAAAAAAAGCTTATATTTGAATCGGGGCCTGTTCCCTATCACTCATCCCATTCAAGATGTTCTGTAGAGTCACCATGTAATTGTTTGAAACATTACAAAGCTGTGTTGCAGAGTCAGAAGCCACGAAGGATTAATATCAGGTCAATGCAGGTACAGAACTGGGCTTCACACCTACCACGGCAGCAACCAATGGTGAAACAAAGCAATACACCTGCGTCCCACAGTGCCGTGAACAGTGGGCTACGCCTGATTCCATAAAGGCTTTCTGGCTTAAGAGCAGCCCTGAGGAGAAGGACTTGGGGGTACTGGTGGATGAAAAGCTGGACATGAGCCGGCAGTGCGTGCTGGCAGCCCAGAAAGCCAACCGTATCCTGGGCTGTATCCAGAGAAGTGTGGCCAGCAGGTCGAGGGAGGGGATTCTGCCCCTGTACTCTGCTCTGGTGAGACCCCACCTGGAGTGCTGCATCCAGCTGTGGAACCCACAATGTAA